AGACATCACTTTTGGAAAACAGAGATCACATTCGGCCAGCAGCGAGTCAAATACATTTCTCAGCAGGAAAACAGAACGATCTTAAAAGCAGACTCTGAAATATAAATATTCTGCTATGTCGCGAGGAGGATACTGATATAAAGTGGAACTGAACCTGGCGGATCTATGTCGACGTAACGAATAAAATTGCCGATTTTCACAGAAGCTAAGGCATCGGTACAATGATTACTGATGCACTTCGCAAAAAAATCACAGGCGCCCGCTTGACGTCAACGTACCCGAAAATATTAGCAAAATAAGAGGTATGAAAGTGCGAGAAAATGACAATAGAACCATGCAGTACCGGATTATACTTCCTCCTTGCAGCCTCAAGCTTGCGACGGAGTTCCTTGACGCGATGTTGCTGTTTCCTAATATCCTCGTCTGTAACTATTAAGTTCTAAAGACAACAGATTGACCAAAATATAACCATTTACCTTTACAAAGGGTTGAGCATGATTCAGTGTAGCACAAGGGTTTTTCTCAATTGTCGGAACTGGCTGATCTTGGCCAGTAATGGGGCAAGAGGCACCGGATAATGCAGACATTAGGTTATGAATGAGATGGAATTCATTATATCCAGGTGCACCGGCAGCTAAATAATAAGGAAATTTTCTTTAGATGTCGACTTACCTTGGATTATTTTTGGGAGGGTAGGTGCTGGAAGTGCAAAACCGGTACGACTATCAATCGCCCGGGAGTCACTTAAACGAAGCTCACTAAAAAGCTAGAGAAGTAAACGTGTCAGAGAGATTGGACAGATACCTGTTTAGGGCAATCCATAGTTGTTGGTTTTTCAATTCGTTTGCTGTCGTTATGCGAAGAGATAATTAACGGTTTGGGAAGCGGAGGAGCGGCGCGCCGACTGAACCAATCAGTTTGATCGTCCGAGCGGTCTACCGGAAATAAGGACACAAGACACTTACTCTTTGGAGTAGAGTCACTTATCTTAGACTTCAAAGACTGGCTAGAAAATTTTCCAGAACGCCAATCAAAGTCAGCAACGTCAAATTTATCACCCAGTAAAAGCTGAAGCTCTTTGGGAGTCCTGGCTTGCTGACCTGTTGGACTATTAAAACAAAATTTCTGAAAAGCAAGCGAGCAACTTACGTAACGTAGAATACAATGGATTTTCCACTATTTAAACCGTTACAACGGAATACTTCTTCACGCTTCCAACCAGGCGGGAGCTGCGAAAGAACACCATGTGTTTTGTACACTACAGCTTAATAACAGAAAAAATGAAAAGACGGTGAGTTACCCTGATTGAATTTTTTCTGTCCGCCAACAACTATGTTAGAGTGCTGTCGCTGAGGGGTGGCCATCGGCAACCTTTGACAGTCAACTTAAAACACAGCAATTGGAACTTACAGCCCCGAAACCAATAATACAAGGGCCGATCTGTTTAAATTTTCGCCAAGACAGTCCCCCTAATGAGAGAAAACAAACGTTTTATTTTGAAGGTAGCATCCAAAATTGTAAGCCAAAATGGCTCCATTGAATGAGATCATGGTAAAAAATTAACAGGCTACTCAAAAATCGGGAGACTCACATAAAATACCCATCAGTTATGGAGACAGGTACAATCTCAGCTTTTAGATATTTTATTTGTTTGTGCACCGATCTATTCCTCAGGATGCGCCCATCCTGG